ACGCACGGAATTCCATCTGGGAATGCTTGTTACGTTCAGTGGCGGTGAGGCTAAATTGCTCCCACGGTACAAAAGCAGCAACAACGAATTTAATATGAACAATGGTTAATAGAACCTACCAATTACATAGTACGAAAAATCGATATTTCTCTATAATAATTCCCTTGTGGAGTTATACAATTATAATTTTTTTAATGATAAAAAAAAGTATGTATAAAAATGTTTTCATTTTCTTTTTTTCGTGATATATGTATATACCCTTCGCATTTTATCCTACGACGTCATTCGACGAACCTCGTTTTATTAAGCACCCTTTTAATTAAAACCTTCGTTACTTTTTTTGTTTTCTATACCATCGATCAGTCAGCCTACCACTTTGTCTATACTGGCTCGTAACGTAATGCGAAACGAAACAAACAGATGCCATAAACATACCCAGAGCGCTATCCTCATACATATACGTAACGCTTTAACGTCCTGTCACTTAACCTAAGGAACCTGGAATCAATGCCGATTCGGCCGTATTTTTTTTTTTCTTCGGTTGGCAATAGGTCCGACTATATTCTTCGCCGTTACTTGCCTCCGAGCGAAGTACGACATTTAATGGCACTCACGCAGGCGAACTCTTGTGCGTTTTACTGCATTCTGCACTTGCAACAAGGTGCATCGTAAAATAGAGATATGCCTGGTGCATGGTAAATCAGTCGACTGCATGTGAAATTCAGATTACCGTTATAAGACGTCAAGGATGATATATTTCTTCCTAAGTACATTTTACGCAATTTCTAAAAATTCGACGTTCCTTATCGAACCCCAAAAAAAATATTTACAAAAATTTCAAATTACAGACATTTTTTTAATCATGTAATTTTTTGAAATTATCAGCACATTTTTTTCATATCACAATCTTTATCACGGGTTCGTACGTTTTAGGGGTTAGAACATTTTTTTTTTCAAGTTGGTACAAATTTTCTCTAGGTTTATTCCTCAGGCTCCCTGTCTTACGGCGGTAACCATGGAGCTTCCGATTTTTGAATTAATGTGCCCCTGGGGCGTAAGAACCGGCTACACGTTATCCTGCAACAGATGTGCGAGATCGTTCAGGGGTCAGGTTATCGACATGTGTGACCTCTTCTATTCTCTTGCAATGGCTGAGTGCGAGGTAAGATCTAAAAACCCCATGGGATCGTGAAGGTTAGGTGTAGACTAAAACTCATACGTGCCATCTTTTCTCTTTCCGGCAACGAAGTTACATAAAGGAGAACGTGAAAGGATATAACCTACTGCTGCACTACTACTAGTATCATTGCTACTACTGGTAATACCAGTATTACTATAGTAGGTGGGTAATCGTATTACCGTCTATATACACATATATATATATATATATATATATATACTATAATATAAAAAGTGCAATTTTATTCAAAGAATTTTCTCCTACTCAAATCCATAACGGAAAAATATTAAAAAGAGGGAATATTTTAAGGTTTTACGAAAAGGCCATTCCTGGCCATGCGGTTCTTCGATTTTTGTTAAATAATGTTATACCCATCCACCCTCGGTCCAGACAAAATATCAAGCTTCTTTATTATTCCTCTTGGGAATATTTATATCCGACGTAAATTTTAAAATTTGTCTCGAAACTCAATATTCTCCAGCACGGATATAACGGGAGCTTTGACTTTTCGCAAAAGTCTCGAGATTCCAACTACTAACTTTTCTACTGTACTTCAAAGATAAATAATATTCAAAGTATCTACTGTACCGACTGTACTTTATCCGATATTATATATATGTATATAGACACACACCTATATCGAACGTCACGAGAAGAAAGAATTTTCCATCGCAAAGTACCTATATATATATAAGAAACTTACCTATACCATATTCAGACAGTGAAAAATCTAATGTCGGATATTCCACGTCACGGCTGAACGACTGGCGAATCATAAATATATAGAGGGGTATGTATATGCAGTTGCATATCGGTTCCTATAAACTATCCGGACGGCGAATTCTGATGCAACAACAGTTTTCATCCACTTAAGGATACTTGTCTGAAAGAAGATTCAGCTATAAAATACGTGACAGTCGCTCTGCCGGTAACCTTCGTATTTTCTCTTTCTTTGCTGCCAGTACGATAAATTATCTCTCGGTGAGCCACAATGGCTGCTCCAGGTCGCAGGAAAGTGTCCCGATCAAATGTCCCCGATAAATTCCAATAAGAATTTCAAATTTAGTGACTTTTGACTCCGTGCTACTGGAATCTCTCTATAGTCCCAGGAACAGCATCTTTCTGCAAAATCTCTATGCTCGGTATCCGGTATATCCACCTCTCTGCACTTTGGACCACTTTATTCTTCGGGATTGAACGTTTGGCTATTTTCTTCAGGAGCGTCCCCATGTTTTCAAACCGCTTATCTGATAGTAACCCAACTCAGGAATTCCCTAGGGACAAAAAACGTTTCTAGTAATTTTATGATTTTTTTTTTTTGATCGACTAAGGATCTTGTCACTTCAAAATCTATTATACAAGGTTCGATCGATTATGGAAAAATGTCTTGTATGAGGTTAAAAGTACTGTGCGAAACGTTTGATATTGATATCAGGGATTTTCGCAAATTTGCAAAAATTATCGTTTCAACAGGTCGACCAATGGTAGTCTATTGAAATTCTGCTTGCAATTATGGCGAAATTACTGATAGCGACAAGTACGAAAAGTACCCGGAGGGAGTTACGCCCTCTTGAACGTACGTGGCTGAGTGGCTCTGCTTTTTCCAGGATGCAACCCTCTTAATTCTCCACCGACATTTTACCTCTCTCTGGCTTTATACACTCTTACACTCTGGGGATCGCTGAACGTTTTAATCAAACCTTATATTTAATATTTCAGTTAAAATTCGCACCCACCCTTTGCTGCGTGCTGTGTTTGATTAGCTCATTGACCTTCCGGATCTTCAAGGTCAATTTAATAATTTACGGTACTTAAAAAAATTTATTTAAAAATCTTACTTCTTGTGTAATATTCTTTTTTTACAGTAAAGGTTTCCCACTTAGGTATTTTAATTCTAGGTAAATTCCTTTAGGAACTATTCAGAAGCAATCAGAAAGACGTAAGTCGAATTTCTGTATAGAAGGATTCAAGCTACGGTTTGCTTATGTTTATATGCATATATATATTTTGTATTAAATTTCAACCTCGCAGCAAATAATACTGGTATCCCTCATCCACTTGGTAATTTCAATACTCCATTTAGTCGAGATGCTTAACACGGCTATTCAAGTCTTTGTTAACTGACATTTTCTTCGGTATAAATTACCCGTTGATTAATAAATGCTCAAGAAATTTTCGTAAACGGTAGAACGAAATGAGATATTACTCGTTAAATAAGAATTGCAAAGGAGATAAAAATACAATTTGTAGCACTTTATTGAGTCGAAAGGGAATCACGTCTATAATAAATGAAAATAATTGTTACCACGTGCCAGTGGGACGTGATAATTTTTTTAAATTTAAAAAGAATTAATTTTTTAATAAATCAACATTTTACGTCATATCGAATAATTCAAATGTTCCGTAAAAATACTTAAAATTAATCGAATATTAATTACACACGAAATACAATCTTACGGAAGTTTATAGCTCGCTAACACGACCTCATAAATTCCTCTTCAACTGTTTCACGAATAAAAGCTTAACGATCTTTTCTACCGGGTCATCTTGAAATATATATATATATATACACACACACACACACTATTTTCGTGTGAATTAATCTTCTCTTTAATCCAACAATCCATATACCTGCGCTTCATCTAGAGCATTGTCCCACTTTCAATATCGACCAAAAAAAGATGCACCCTTATCTAAAGTCTGAATAGCAAAATTAGACAATGCCAAAAATAAGTATAAAATATTTCTGGAAATCAATTAATCATTGATATGTAATTTTTATCTGACAAAGTCAATTTCATCCCATACCCCCTTAATTACATCATTATGCCCCGTGACCCTTACCCTTCAATTACGGGATCCTCTAAAATCCTTAATTTCGTCCTACTTGCGTAATCAAGACACTCATCCCTTATTACCGCTTATTTTTTCACGTAACGCTATTTATCTTTGTCAAGTACTCATAAAGTACTTGATATCTCATTAAGAAGAGAGCCAGCCGTTCCACGCGACGGGTATACAAACATATTATTTGGATTTCTACAGGAAAAGAGTAAACCAGACGAACGTTATTACGTTAGCATCTGAGTGAGCAAGTTCGCGGTTCGTGCTCGAAATCCTAATTTAATATTAAGGGTAGTTTACGTGAAAGGAATACGCACGTTATTACCGGCAGTAATACGTTTTTAGTGATAAAGTCAGTCTGGGTAGTGGCGTATTTGAGGATTGGTACTAAAAAAAAAGAAAAAAATATATAAAACGATTTTTTGATACCCAAGCCTAACCCATTGGTAAAATCCTTTTAAGAGTAATAAAAAAAAGATGAAGCTACAGCATCCAATGGACCAAATGAATAAATCGGACGTATCGTCATCGATCGCTCGAATATACATAGAATCAGCATACAGACCAACACTTGACTTATAGAGACAGAAAAAAAAGTTATGAAAATAGATTATATCGAGAAAAGGAATGTCGCTTGCATACGTCGAGATAAATAATCTGTTTGTAATAAAAGCAAGAAAAAAAAATCTGCAAAAACGGCGACAATCAACCTGAAAAAAGTGCTGAGGGCGAAACTGGAAAAGGTCGCGTAGATAAAGCGAGACGCCTGATAAAGTATAATATCATTTCACGACCCCTTTTAGTCGGCGAGCTTGGGTGTATTTGCATTTTTATTATAAATAAAAAAGGCAATTACCTGTTAAACTCATTGTTGACTAATGTGGAATTTTCCCAAAATCCATCTCCACAGGCTATAGCAATCAGTATGTTAATTTCGAGGCTGTTACGAATTACGATTTTTATTTGTTTCCCGCAGGATGCCAAACAATCCCAAAAAAGGCCGGAAGAGAGAGTAGCATGAATCGTAGAGAGGACCCGCTGCTACGGCAGCATCGAAGCCGACTCCTGCAGCTGGCTGAGACGACGAACATCAAGCCTGGCCGTGGCAGCGGGAAGAGACGTGAACAAAGAGCAACCACTAGAGTCAGTCCTAGGTGAGTCAAGATAGAGTTTACTATCAACAATACAAAGGTACAATTCCAAAAACTGATATTCAAAGATTATGAAAAAATAATATTTCAATATTTTATATTCAAGGTAAACAAGATTTTTAGAATTTGCAATCAAGTCCTCTTACGTGCTCATTGCCCCCGTGTGTGTATTACGCAACCAAGGCACCAGTGTCATCCCTCCTAATCTCCTTCTTTTGTCTCCCCCCCCTACCCCCCTTCACGTTACGTAATTCCTCTCGCATCAAGTATACAAACTCGGGCTTCTCCCAAGATATTTCAACCCTCATTTTCCCAACCCAATCTTGGAATCACGGAATAACACAGTTCCGGTTAAAATAGTGAAGTCAAGTGGCAGCATTAGGCCACCTTATCTTATGCAGGAATTAACGTGGCAGACTGCGAGTCTGAGAAAGCAGTGGCGGAACGAGAGTTTAGATGAATACGGTATACGGTTTCCGGCTTTGCGCGAATCTACTGACATAAACGTAAAGCGACTTTGTATCCGATTAAAGGACTTTCTGGAGTGTTACGAAATTCGATGACTTTTCATCCGACAGTCCTTATCGCTTGCGTAACGCATAGATCGATATGGATAACTTCACGTGGCTGTTCCGGGCATCACTGACGTATTGTATACTCGTATGAGTACATACACTGCATATAGATGTATAATGTGAATTTAGCCAAGGATATATTCACTTGGAGATTATGGCTATCGGGGACTCTAGAATCTAGGGCATAGTACTGGAATTAGGTACGGCGATAGAGAGTTAGCATATACGTGGTATATTCCATGGTACTTTAATACCGGTTGAGTAGTGTTCTCGCAATATATCTATATACGGGAACTTCATAAGTGATGAGAAATCGTATAGACACAGGTAGATCAGGTTATATCGTGAGGATGAAACGACTTTTATTTTTATTTTATTTATTTTTTTCTTATTCTTACAGTAATGGCGGTCCAAGCAGCGGAGGTCGGATCACCCTGCAGGATATTGTCAGGAGCGATCCAGGATACACGCCGAACATAGAGCACCTAGTTTTCCCAGAGAGGAAGAGCAGCAATCCGAATTTGGCGTCGAACAACTCGCCACCGAATAAGAACAGAGGGAATTCCTCTTCCGGTAGATCGAGACTGGCGGAAGTCTTTGCCAGACATTACGCAAGAGGACTGTCGCAGGATTCCTCGATTACCACACGCAAGAATCATCTTAACGTAAGGAGGGACGAATTTGCGAATTAAAAAAAATAAGGATTGATTAAAAAAATAATTAATTAATTTTTTCACTATTCGAATGTATTTTGGGTATCCTTCGTGATATATTTTTTTTGTCATTATACCGTCTGCCAGGCAGAACGTCGAATCGATAATTTACTGCGTTAATGAGTCGCGATAAAAAATGTCGAACGTGTCTCTTTTTATATATTAGACGAGTTCCCTTTGCCTACGCTGAGAATAAAAATACTTTCATCGAAAGAGTTGCGCAGCCACTCGGCCATTCTCGGCCGGTCGACTAATGTCGTTCTTCCATATTCGGAGGTAGAAACGACCACGACACGTGGGCATATGTGTACCCGTACACCGATCTAACAGCCCGTACGAATATAACCACGCGTGTCGTTGCCCCATCGAAGGAAATCCTTCGGGCGAGTTCACGAGAAAACGTCGAACCTCGGATACACGTACAGGCATAGGAATAACGATCGTATTAAACTCTTCAGTGTGATCGATAACAGCGGTGCCTATGCCTTCGGTGAAAGGGATAAAAATTTTATAAGAACCGGACGTACCAATCCCCCGGGACACTAAAGTCTGTAAATCGAATCGTCCGACCGCAACGTGATTGATAAATAAAAAAATTGCTCAGGGAAGTCCGTAGGGAATCAATGAAAGTGTAATTAAAATGTGAAAACCTCTTTTTCAACAACAAAGTCATGTTGAAAGTACTTGAAACACCGTCGAATTTTTTTCTTTTATTATTCAATTTCATTTCCCACCTTACAGACCACCTCATTGGACAGCGTGGGTGCCGGAGGTCATCAGCCTGCAGCAGCATCAGGATCAGGAGTTCCGCGAAGGGAAGCAAGTAGACGTTGGCTCTCGCAGACGTCGCAATCCTCCAGGCAACACTCTAGCGACGATGGGGTCCGTGGGGGCCCCGTGGGTGTTGGAGGGCCCGTTCCGACCTCGGCCTCCAGTCAGGTCCCCGTCTCGGCTCCTGTCCCCGTACTGGCCTCTCGTCGAGTCAGTCCAGCCGCGGATCCAACCGAGATCTCCAATCCGAATTCCGCTGTCTCGCGAACCGACAGGTAACCACTGTGTCCTGTCACTAAATATATAAATAGTGCTTCGCGAACTTAATACTCCTACGTAGCTACTGGCTTCAATTTTCCCAATCAACGCGTCTCCGTGTGCGTTCACAAAGTGATAGAGTTTTGGGTCCAGTTTTTGCAAATTATTTTTAATCGACTCACTGAGCACAGAACTGTGCACGTGTGGCTTTTGAGTGACGTCAGTGCTTAATTGATATGTGTACGTCACTTTTAAGCCTCCTTACTACTGGATATGTCACTTTAGTACTTGGCTGAGGTCTGTGTTGACTCTACGTAGGCCGGATGCGATGGGACGAAAAGTGATGACTTCAGGAACAAGTTGACAGTGTTCTCTCACTCTTACCTACTTCTTTTTTGTATCTGTGTACTTTGGTGGTGGTGCCTCTGATCAATGTGTCGCGAAAGCTTGTCAACGGTGTGCGTCGACTTTTGCGCGAGCAATGTCGACTAGAAGGTAATTTGAAAAGTGGATGGAATTGAATTTAGGGTGAATTTCGAAGTTACACGAGAGTAGGTAGATCTCTGTTTGGACCGATAGGTTTGTACGCTTCTGTGGCTTCTGTGGCAGGTCCTCTGGAAAGGAATAAAACTATCAAACGTATTATCAAGACTGATTGGATATCCGACTTCTTGTTTGCTTCGCAAAGTTATTGGGATAGGGTTGATAAAATATTTCTTCTAAGAGGCAGTACCAACCCTCCAGTCAGAAACGGAAGGAGACACGACCAGAAGTGACGGAGGGATGAACAGTCGAGTCTTATGAATTATCGAGGACTACGTCCATTCGTTTACAATTATGTACATACATTAGACCATTTCGTTCTAACCCCCCCCCCACCCCATACCCCTCGCTATTCCCATTAAATACATTTATTACGAGGGTATAATTATTGTAGGAACTTTTGATGAATTTCTTTCCTTGCTACTTTGACGTCATTAGGAAATCCTTAAGGGATCAAATATTGACAGTAAAGTTATTACTTGTAGTTTTAAAGAAAAATTTTACTCTTTTTTCTTCCTCAAACGACTACGGTTCCCCTGTACGATCCAACAAGTACACGGAACGTTCTATTTTAGTTGGTAATAACTTTTACCTCGTACAAGCAGTAATACAGGATATGGCGAATTCCTCACTTTTCGCGAATCATTGACCCTGCATTTTTTATCCAAATTTACACAACTCATAAAATGAGGAATTATTGATTCTTGAAAATTTGAATTTTTTCTTTTTTTTTTTTTTAATTTTTCTGCAGATAAATTCACTGACCGTTGAACAGTGTTGAAATCACGTAACGGCGACTAGTACGGGCAAGGTTATTACCATATTCGATTCCGTATTACCTATTCAGTTCCAGACGACTGGCTGTGTAACACTTTGGTATGCTAAGTACTACTTACTTTCTTGCTTGGAACCTCCGAGGAATCGTCTTCAATCAGACCGTTGAGGATGATCAGTGTACAGTGTACATGGAAAAAGGATAATCCCGTCTTTGGATATTTCGCAAATTCGCGTTCGTAGTTTCGCACTGAACTCCCGTTATCGGAATGCGTGAAACGTCAGAGGTCCGAACCTATATCAATGGCCCGCTCGTTAAAGCCGTCAAAGGCTGACCATCGACTAATAGAAACAATCCGATTGTCCGCGCGCGTCACGATCCACGTGGATTTATCGAACCTCTTTGAAATAGCGCAAATTTCGCGTAACGGCTCACCGCTGCGGTTATTCACGCAAAACGGCATATTCGAGTCGAGCATAAATTGATCATTCATAAACTCATTGTCATTCGCCACGTAACACGGTACGACGTGTTTATTCGTCAAAATCAGTATCGCAATCACTCACTTCGGTTTACCGTAATTCCATTAAAAAAAAAGAGCATTTTAAATTTAAATACGACTTCGTTATCGGTATGAATTTTATACATGAGGTTTCGGAAAAAATCATTTTTTTCCTATAGTCTATTCGTATCTGCTACGAAATAAAAGCACGAGAGAGTATATCCCCGAGAACCTTAAATGGAGTGAAAATATAAGCTTAACCTAAGGTATTTTGATTTGAGGCATGAGAACGTCTTTGGATCCTCTAGACATTTTCTGCTTGCTCGTCTCTCTTGGCGTCATGAATATTTATAGGAGAATAGCGCACGATGAAACTTTACCGTCTCGCGCGGCCATACTGAAAAGTCAGGCAAAGCATGAAAGTGAGATTAAAGTTTTTTTTAAGTGACGCTCACGCCACTGGCTTCACGTAAATGGTCACTTGAAATTTGATCGTCCTTAGACTCAATACCAGTATATAGAAATTGTGCCCTTTAGTTATTTCCAAAAATATGTAATCAATATGAGTGTCAATATATATGTATCGGTCTTACAAAAAAGATTAAATTTTTTTATCAAAACCTTAAAAAAAATACCTCAAAGACGCAATGTTGACCTAAATTTAATTTGACGTTCTAGAAAAAATTTAAATTAAAAAATATAAAGGTCGCTACATAATGGAGGAGTGGTACGCGAATGTAGACTCTACTAAGTATAGGCGCCATATTTGTCGTTACTTATTCCAGAACGTTAATCGTAACTCACGTGGGATCCCATATAGGCGAATCGCATTTTGTCGATATAAATCCTATATTGCCCCTCGTTAGATAAATCTCGTTCCAAATTCCTTCTTGATAGTTTTCATGGCGTTGTTTATGGTACTGTATTACTTATTGCGATAATCGTGCGATTTCGATTCGATACCAACTTCGTGTCCCAGTTCGATTCATTTTGGCAAGTACGGTGTGAAATTCTGTATTTGTCTGCATTGTTATTTCCCTCTCTCTCTCTCTCTCTCTCTCTCTCTCTCTCTCTCTCTCTCTCTCTCTCTCTCTCTCTCTCTCTCTTATTTACTTGTTATTGATCTTTTCTCTTCCTTTTTTTTTCCAATGGAAACGATGTATTCACCAATTCGATCGATCGTCAGATATCACATACATGAGTGCAGGTTTAAAAGTAAAGTAATATCAGTATATGGCCTTCGTTCCATTGTGAACATTGCTTAAAGGTAGGAAGTAATAAAAAGCCTTTATAAGGAATAAATATATTTGTAATTGCCAATATATTATTATTATTGATAATAGAATAAAAATTGATATAGATTATAAAAATCAGTATGTGCTATAGATACGAGGATAATTGGGTATTTCCTTAATAATTTATTTATCAAGATATTTGAAAATCAGGGTAAACGAGTCCTAAAGTACTGAACTGATTGTTGCGGGGTCAAAGGCGAAGAATACAATGCGACGAGCACGTTCCTATATTCCATATAGTGTAGGTATACATGCGGGTGGGAATATAATACCCTTTTGTGCTCGCGGGTCATTAATATCATAGCGTAAGGCCAACAGGAAATTCTGTAGCTGCGGTGAGATTTTTGTTCTCAAAGGAAACACTAGCGCCATCGTGCGTCGTATTCGGACACTAGAATATAAACGAATTCAATGGTTTGTCATTTCTTTTGATTTCTTTGAATTTCGTCGAAAAAGATGTCGGAGTTTTTGTATTTGTAAAAACGAAATATCCAGAGTTTATTTTGCGATAGGGTTAATTAACGTTGGTTAACAAGGCGAAAGTAATAAGTTCCTGTTACTTCAAGTACAGCTGACAATAGGTATTATATCCATAGGTAGACTTTAATGGAACTAATGACAAAAGTTATGAAAAATATACCGGGTGTTTCAAAAGCTCGTATAATATTGTTAAAACTCCGATGATTCTTATAGCAGTGCCTTCGCTTGATTATCAACGTTTCACTCTCGTAGTAGATTACGGCAAAGCTGCTGAATTCTTGTCCAGAGGAAATTCGGTATTTCCTTGTTAGGTTGAGTTTCAATTCACAAGCCGCAACACTCGCACCAGGCACGTCCCTGAAAAGCAACCCGTGCCGATTGTTTATAGGGGACCGAACGTATCGATCTTACATCTAAGGAGCACCTCGGATCCCTGGGAGACCGGATCGCAGGGTTCGTCGTTCAGCGTGAGTGGAAACAAGAGTCAATCAGCGAACCGAAATAAAAGTCTGGGAGGCGCTCGCAATTCGTACACACGTGGCAGCTCGATACCGGCGCTCATACGTCACGAGACGACGAATTCGAACGCGACGCCAAGTCTGAAGCAACGGACGGATAGCAGCACCCTGGGACACTCTCGTCGACGGGAGACCAATTTCCTGTCCGGTAGCGGCGGGACTTCCGGGGAGCTCTTCGTCAGCGGGAATTGCAGTAGGGAATTATCGCCCGTGCGATGGTGCGATAGAGAGGTCGATGGCGTCTATCTCGGGAGATCAGGATGGGTCCAGGTACAGCAGAGATCCTTAGATGAGAATAGAAAGACGAGCTACGAGAGCAGCCTGGTTACGGCCTCTACGGGGACACTTCCGCTACCCAGAAGAGCTACGATTAAGCTTGCTGATTATCACTGCAGCAATAGCGAACCTGGAAAGTGTCCGGATTTCACTAGGGTGGACGTGCAGCGGCCAGACTTTCTTGCTCTTCATGGTCAGGATTACGAGCCACCGAGCGCGTGCACATCGCCCCACAGCATTCCGGAATCGTTTTCGCCCCCGTCGGTGACGCCGATCATCTCACCGCCTCCGGCGTTCCAGGATGTTGGGAAAAAGTCCTCGAGACACGCTAGAAATGCCTTCGGCAAGCCGCCCTTCTTACCACGTTCCAATGCGATCGTCGACAGCGATATCATTAGTCCACCACCCTCGCCACCCACACCGATCAACTGGACGTCTTTGCCGTCGCCTAGGAAAGCTGCTCCTCCTCCGTTACCGACCAGGTCCAGACGGCAGACGCCCTCGCCAGCCGGTACACCTCAGCAACAGTACCGGCTGGCCCAGGCGAAGTCCTTGGAAGATCAGTCTACCTCCAGAAGGTCGCAATTCGTGCAGCGTTACATGGAGTCATCCTCGTCTTCGTCATCCTCGATGGGCTTCAGGAGCCTGGACAGCTGCGTAAATCGGGTGACCATGCCCAGGTTGTCAGAGAACACAGACTCCTCGGTGGAGGGTTACGAAGACGGGGACGAGGATGATAATCCAAGTTCGTCTCTTAACCTGAGCGTAGTCTCTTCCGCTGTACTGAACTCATCGCCCGAGTCCGTTTGCGCCAATGGCGAGAAGATCTCTCCGTCCGGAAGACAAGGAGGCAGATCATCGCATCACAGGAACCAGCAGATACGCCGATCACCAGGTTCCACAGAATCCAGCAAGCAATTGTCCTTCAATTCGCCATCCTCGTCCTCGTCCAGCAGTACCGATCGACAAGGACGATCACCTACGCCTACACCGTTCAGAAGAGGAAATACCTCCAGGCAGCATCAAAGTGCGAGAACTGCTGCGGCCTCGCCGGACTCCCTTCAGTCGCGCGTTAGACGCTCCAGGAGTCTCCAGCTCCCGGAGAAGAGGTCCCCGGGTTCTTCGGCACCTGGACAGCCTAGCCGCGATCACTCGAGAGAATCCAATGAGCCCCACCGGGTCGTCGTGAAGATCGCCAATGAACGGAGTACCGATCGTATCAAGCGTCACGTACTGCCAAACAGTAGGTTATCTTTTATCTATCTTAAGATCCTCCTTGATTATGCTCCTCTGAAGCTCCTCCTCAAGTTCCCCGATCTAATAGTGAATTTACAAGCGCGAGGAAAACTTTCCTCGTTCTCCGTAGATTTCGCTCGCATACTAAGAGTCCCGCGTGGAGCGTAACCCTAGATTCGATCATTAAAACCATGAAGCGCGATACACGGAAAGAGAGTCTCTTCCTGCCCCGAAATCGATCTTCGTAGTAAAACCAAATTTCCCTAGATTCATTATTTGAAGTGTGAATCGCCTGAAAAATAGCATCCCTAGTCCGTTATCTAACTCCACTCCACGTAGATAGTACCACTGGATTTCCGCTATAATTCTACCACGTGTGCTTCCCAGGAAAAGCACAGTCCACCGAGGACACCCTCAGCGAGGACCTTTTGCGGGAAGCTGAGGCAGTCACGGAGTTCCTCTACGGTACACGCAGTCGTGCCGCAGCCAGGAACTTGTTGACGAACCGATACGATCGCCGTGAAGAAATTAAGGAACAAAGGAGAAACGTCCCCAGCACGTATGACGTGTACTTCATCTCGCCGAAACAACAGCAACAGCAGACCCAGCAGCAGCAACAGCCGCAAGCAAAAGTCGGCAATAACGTCCCGGCTCAGCAGCAGCAACAACAGCAAAATCGTAGACCAAGAACTCTACAGCGTGGCGCCTCTACGCCTAACGCAAAGCCTGCCCCAGGACACGACTTCTGCGCGAGTCCCGAGGCCAAGAATCGCTGTAGCAGCAGCACCTGTGACTTCTGGCCCCATTGCTCTCAGAGGGACACTCTCTACTCTCCCAACCAAGCTCCGGTCTTCATGAAGCTCTCTCAGAGTTACCCGGCACATCAGAGACTTACTCCAGACAGTGGTGCACACATGGGCAGAAGCAGCGCCTGCTCCTCTCCAGCTTCCCTGGAACGCATGGACGAGAGAGACGCCCGCGAGCGTGAGAACTCGAAGAAGCATCATCAGCGGGATCACAGCAGCGGCAAGTATCACGAGCGGGAGCCGCGGGTGCCCAAAGGCGTCCTGAAGCAATCGCGATGGTCGCCGATGGAGTCTTCGAACGGAAATATCGGCACGATAAACGAACGTGGCAAGCGCGACTATCAGGGCCATCGGGAGCATCATAAAACTGAAGGTAGCTTCGACCGGAAGCTCTCCCCGGCCCAGTCCAAGGGCTCGATGAGCAGATCACCAAGTGGCGCTGGAATATCATCATCCACGTCGTCCTCCAGCAGCGACATATGGGTCACCACTTCGGACAGGACTGTCACCAAGAGTCCAAGAAACGCCAAGAGCTCAGGCGCCTCCACTCCCATGGAAGACGCCATGGTTGGCTCTTTGAAGACCCTCACGGAACCACCGAGGGACGGGATACTATCCAGACCCGGAAGTGCCCCGGCGCAAAGGGAAGATTCCTTAGCCAGTGGCACGACCCTGGACCCACATCAGCGATCGTTGTCCTTGCCCAAGTCCTTCCTGACGCACAATTCCAACGAAAGGTAAGTCCTTATCCTGGTCTTGCACCATTGACCTAGTTCACTGTGATATCCTGTCGGTCTGGTTACTTTTTTTTTCTTCTACTACCTATATATGTATGTCTTGTACTTCGCGTGACCCTTGGCAAAGCTGCCTACGCTCTCACGCTTAAACACGGCGAGCTTCCATGTGGGTCGGAACGAATTGATGACGACGCGGTGATCAACGTGGGGTAAAACATTTAATTGAACATCAGTGTCCTGCGGGGAACTTCCTCTTGCTCAGAAGCTCCTGCGGTAGCGTTTTAATCGAATGGTTAAGTTTCACTGTGTCGCGCGGAAACGGAGTTCGATCGGAAGTTGTAATGGATTCGAGATCGAGAATCTACGGGGACTTCGTTCACGTGATCAGCATCCGGATATATCTTTGTCATATGAATCGACGAGGTCTTCGTTTCGATTAACAGTCTACTACTACTACGTCTACTAGTACTACTGCTCTTCTTAGATGCTTTGCGACGGAGTCTGTAAATCATGTTGGTATTTATCATTGTCCTTAAGAGTAAATTGGATGATCGAGTGGAAGAACCTAGGGTGAAATTACTAATAGTGCAATTACACGCACGTCATGTGCAGAGAGTGCAGAAATCCCCTGGGAAGTATTTAGCTTTCGATGCATGTCCGTTAACCTGTTCTCATTATACCAGGCACTGAATCAACGTCACGGTTAATTGCTGCCACGCCACTGTTTGCCAAACGTCACGTAAACTTTAGTCTCCATATCGTTTCGCTTAGCTCGAGCCAATTTCTGATTTACTTAAAACCCCTTCGACACTGACCCGTTTCTCTTTTGCGTTCGGGAATCAATTGGCAATGGCGTAGCGTCGTGCTACGGGATAGGCAGCTTAAGATTTGAATAGTACGAGATATTATATCTTGGGAGAAAACAGAGCGTGACTGGAAATTTAATATCGTACTATGCATATTGGATGTGCAGCGTCCCGTTACAAGATACTATAGTATCGTGTAGACATTGAAGAAAAAAATTAAGAAAATTTATATTAATCATGTCATTTGTTACTTATTGCAAAAATATTATGTGAATTCAGGGTGCATCAAATTATTATTTACATCAGGATGGGTATACCAGACAGTCACAACTTTTTATTTTATCTTATTGGAATTTTGAGAAAAACGCTAATCAAACGCTTCACGCTCGGTATCTGTAGTGGATAAGGAAAAGCGCTTGTTTCTCTTGCGCCTCTTGTGTGCGTGTATATACTATGTATATATTCTATGGTAAATCCTCCCTAGCGAAGCTCCAAATATCCCTGCGAACTTTCCCTATCGCCTAATCTCCTCGACTGCAAGTAAAAAAAGAAAAGGGAACACCGATACCCCGTCACTTACAAAGGAGGATTATTCAAATTTCCCGCCTTTTGAAGAAGCTCCGAAAGACGCGGAACGAGTGGGTATCGCGAGATCGTCCTAGGGTAATGTTGACAGGGGTGCGAAAGCCGAGACGTTAGGGGTTGCCGGCAAAAGGAAATGAAAAGGCGAAATAATGCAAACAATGGCGGATGTAATGAAGTGAAAGAAAAAAAATTGTACTCGACGCTAGAGGATCCACGGTATTATTACTTTTTATTTAAAACAATCATCTTCACCCGCCAGTCTAAACGAATTCTGCCTTAAAATACAGCGTTTTAAGCTACTTTGTGGATTGACCTTAAGGCACTCGCTCTACCCTAGTTTTTCATTCGCGCGACGCACAGCGCAAGACACGTGTTACCGTCAAATGGACGGAATGAGTTTTGCCTGACAGTAAATTGTCGAAAATGAGCACAGGTATGTCGATACATTACCATAGGACTAAATGGCGTTCTCAAGTCAGGTTTATGTCGTTAAGTAAATTAATCGGAACTTTAACCCATATCCCTTTTAGCCAGTGACCTCTTCCAGTTATCGAGGCCATTGTTCCTCGAGAGACGGTCTTTAGAGGAAAATTCTGGGGGTTGAAAGAGACAAGCCATGGAAGCTTACGACATAATACATGCCCTTAGGCAGCCATTGGCTGCCCTCGACTTCCCCGTTTGGATTCTTCCAGGGTGACAAATGAAACCACCCTCATCCACTTCCGCCGTCGCCGCAAGCACCGTGGCCACTTCCCTCGTTTAACATCCGAACAATACAGTGTCTCTCCATTGTATTTAGAAAATTGTTTTTATTAATTCTTTCGATTGAGTTTCAACCAATTTTTTACATTTTAACGCAATTTATTTATAAAAAAAAAATAAGGAACATTACTCGATGGAAAATTAAATGAAGAAGCGTTATTGACCCCAGACGGACTTTAGGTAAAATTTTTGTACTTTTTCTAACATATTCCCATCTCCGTGGATAAATTATGGCTCTCGCGAAAATGGCTGTATTTTCATCTGCTCAATTTTCATGAGATTTTGAGAATTCAACGAGGGGTCATTTTTTGGGTCAATCTTCTCCTTTGGGTCTCCCGTAACGTACAACGTGTATATGCCTCAGGCAAAAATCTCAGTGAGAGTATATCTGCCTTGAAGAAATAAGCTCCCCTTCTCGAATCGACGTCCGAACGTGGTGACGTAGATTATAGGGGTAGTGATAAAAAAATAAAAAAAAAAAGGTGTGAATACACGAGAAAATGGTTATGCTGAAAATAAACTGATTATGGCTGTCCTCTGTTACGTAATACAAAAAAAAAACTTCGTAAAGCTCACCCACGTGTGTGGCCTGTGAAAATAGGGAATAAAAAACATATCATGATTTTTCCACCTGATACATTAACGTGAGTTGCCTCTATAGAAAATTCAAGGATTTATTCGGGAGGGTATCAAGGATCATATTATTTATTTAATTGTTCCTTGTTATTCAATTAACCGTCGATTAAAGATATTTATGTATAATTTTAACGAACTCTTAGTCGCGCAGCGTTTCCTTGTTTCGATTTCATAATTTAATGCTGAATTTCATCAGCTAATAAATAAACTCTCCACGCTGTTGATAAGTGTCAAGCCATTTCGGTTCGCGCCTGCAATATCACGTTACGTACGTACAGGTACGGCAGAAATTGAACGTTCATTGCTTCTCGTATTTGGCAGCTAACCTATTAGTAAAACTATTCATAGCGGATAACGAGCGTTGGCTGCGTGTATTTTAGTCGAGGGAAACAGCCAGGTGAAGTTTTGATAAGCTTAAGGACCCGCGCCATATGGTGCCCCATAATTTGGCACAATTTTCACGGCCATTATATTACCAGGGATCAACATTCCCAATCTCTGCGAACAAACGGGAAGTACGTGAGTCGATTAGAAAATGAAAATAAAATTTGTTGGAAAAAAAATTTTTTGTACAATTTTTTGAAAATTTGTTTTATTACTTCAAAGTAAGATCAACATTTGATAGTATCAGCCACGTATATCGCGTGCACGGGAACGAGTAAGAAAGACGGCGATTGTTCCAAGAATTGGATTTTTAAAGAATAGCAACAACCAGTAGAGCAACATTCCAGGAGATAGACGTTACAGATTGTGAAAGGACCTTGCTTTTACCTTTAGACGTATATTATTTTATCCTTGGCGAAATCCTTTGCCAGGAATCCCATCGCTCGATACGTCGACCATGATCCCAGAGGTGTAAGTACGGCCAGCGGTGACTGTGCTACGCGAATTAAATGGAGTGATATTTTTTGAAATATTTTAATCTTCAACTGCAAACGGTAAAATGGTCCAGAAGACATTGCTAAATAAATTTTTAAGGATAAAAGATAATTGATCTCAAAGGACCTTGCTTTCTCGACAGCCTATCTTTTTTCAAGGTCTCCAGCACAGTCGCCGTCGCGATGACGACAACCCGTCCACTTGATACCATCTGTGACGAAAATTCGATTTATTCGTCCCACACATAATTTTATGTGGATGACAATTTTTTTAAATAATCAAGATCAAGAAAAATTTTTATTTGCAATTTTTTTCGAATCTTCTACGAATACGGGACCACGTTTAATGACCTGTGATCATACGTACGTTGGATACTCGACCATATACGGCGCCCACTCTCAATCCCACGCTATCGCCAACCACTGGCCTGGGCCCAAGAAAGGGGCCCGGGCATATGGGCCCGTTGCCCAAAGTGGGCGAACTGAATTTCATTTCAGCGCCTACCTGAATATCCTCTTGCGAATATTATTAGAAGACAGTGGTGCTTCAATGTTTTTTTTACACAGCTGTTCGTCACTGTGCAAATTTTTTTTAATTACAAACAATTTTTAATCCAAATTATACCTCTATTTAGCAACTCCATCTTATGCCTGTTATCTCAACTCCAGTTTTTGTTTTGCATGAGAAAAAAAATTTCAAAAAAATTATCTTTACTTCAAACCCACCTACGATTTTTTCTTGATCGTGAAATCACTTGTTTCTCAAAATTTCCAACCTGACGTTTCATCAATACTGTGTACGTACACATTTGTCCACCCTTTTCCATCTTCCATATAACGCATATCAATCAGGGTCAATCAGTCCTATCAGTTGAGTTTATCTTCGTTCGTTCCTGATCCGTCCGACAGGTGGATACTCGAAATTCGCCCACGTACCTGTCTCCAGCATCTCTTACACATTAGCATCCCACACATCGTATTATTCATTCAGAAAACCAATAAGCCACTTACACCCAAGTATATTGCGTTTGCCTCTTTCTCTCAGCACATCCACCTCAATTTTTATAGCAGTACCAAAGGTCTTTTTTTTTTCAGGTAAAATTTATACCTCAAAAGAACCCATTGACTCCATAACGTGACCTTTGGAACTATATGCATTTCAAATGCTAAAGCTTAGATACCCCATAGTATAACCACTTGGACGTAAAAAGCTGACGTAATTGTCCTTCGTTTATTATACAATGCGGGAAATCAATATCATAAGTTTTTCTCCGAAAAATAATATCTTTAAACGTTTATTGTCAAGTAAAAAATTTACAACGGAATCTGAACT